TGCCGACGACATTATATCATCTGCACTACACTTTTGATCTGTTTTTTTTAAAATCATACATGAAATTATAAAATTTCACTTTGAGATTTTTTTCTAAAAAAAATTGTGAGCTAACTGTGATCCAGTATGATTGCGGGTTAGGGAAGAACGAGTGAACTAAAGATTTTACTGGGATTACAGGTGCTCAGCTTAAGTGCGCTTCATGTGAATGATCAATGGTTTGATAACTTGATCACAACAGTGAAAACTGCCGGAAATGTGACGACAAAACATCTGCATGCATCTTCGAACACCTGCATGACACTGCGATTTCGACATTTTTCGGGAATTCTCATTGCTAGCTTATGTGAAAATTTTGCGAATGAGTCTTGAATGCACTCAAGCACAAGAAAATGCCACAAATGATTAATTTGATGAATTTGATTAAATGATTAATTTGATTAAATGATTACTTTGTAACTCTGCAACATGTACAGATTGCAATGTATCTTCGAGTGTTTCTGCGATTAACATCGAAATTAAGACGCTTTATTCATTTCTCAACAGGTGAGCATGTGAAAATGTGCATATATTTGAAACAGCAAGTCACTGAACTGTATTCAGCACTCACTCACAGAATACATTAGCTTTGGGTATTGTTTGTAGCAAACGTTTCACTTGCGTAACAGAGAGATGCACAACAAGCATAACAGAATGTATTTGCATTTAGCAAGGCGATCATCATCCTATGCAACTAGCATTGAAGAGAGGTAGCCAATCGTCGGTCGTGTTCAGCTGCACGAACAAGCGATATTGCGTTATTGGACTACGTTGCAGTGGTTCTAACTCAATCATTTATTGAGAACAGTCCAATGCGAGAGGGTGGATGCTTCAGTCGTAAGCAAATGACAAGGAACGTTCAAATTCATGTCAATGACTAGCAAAACTGAAGGAAACTGCGACATTTCGAGGACATTTGACATGTTTTGAGGTGTAATTTTGCCTGGATCGTGAGCAATTATTGCGGATATGGGATCAAAAAAAACAGAGTAGAGAAATTCATCATCGGTGAAACGGTTGAATTCATGTGGCCAACTCAGTATCTTTCCATTTGGTATCTTTTGCAAGAGCAGCTTGAATTGCTGAGCGAATCGTTTCTGAGCGAATCTCTTCTGTTTCGTCAACTATTTGAATACCTGGAAAAGCTTCATTGACTTCATTGAAAATCATTTAGAAGCATCTTTTCAATTCTGTTTGATGAGATAGAGTAAAAAATTTGAAATATGGAACCAATATAATAGAACATAGCGTCAGTTTCTCAATGAAAAGGGAAAAATGCATGATATAGCTCCAAAAACCGCCGAATGGTTCATGGTTAAATGAAAGAATTCACAGAATCGTACGACATCAATGCATGACGTAGACATATGTTTCGATATAAGATAAAAGCAGATTGTGTCACTGAATTGGCGATCTCTTGAATTCAACAAACATCTTGACTGCTAATTAACTACAGCAAATTGATGATCATTCAATCTACTAAGAACTCACCAAGGAAGAGTGTGTACATCCACGCACCGATGACAGCGCCCAACGTTGGGCCGACGATAGGTATCCAAAACCATGTATAGTTTCGGAAGCTGAAATTTTTTCACCATTAGTTTCCCTTGACCAGTAATCAATTCAAGTGAGCATTCCAGTTGGATTCCATAATCAGATAAATGTTCACCTGAATGTTTCTAGTCCCCAGCCGGCCAGAAGAGTGAACAATCGTGGTCCAAGATCTCTAGCCGGATTAATCGCACATCCACAGTTATGTGAAAGCGTCACAGTGAGCAACGTGACAATGAAACCAACGAAAAGCGGTTGAAGAAATCTGGGCACTTCGTTCTTTTTCTCAAATAAAATGCAAACACAAACACAAAGAAACGTTGTACCGATTACCTGAAAAAATTCATGGATTCATGAGGAGATTTCAATAGTTTCTATTAGATAAACTATCGACCGTTTCACTTGATCACTGAAATATTTCCGTTCCAAACAAAATCGTCAGTGTGTTCTTAAGTGATCGTTGTCATGTATGTCGATCTTGATCGATAAAGAATGATCACTTGCTCAATGCTGATCAGATGAGACTTACCTGATCCAGAAAGCCGCCAAGAACGGATAAGTATGGTTGTGGATAGGTGGCGAAGATGCTAGCAGTTTGCAGCGGACCTGTCACCGATCGTATGCCACCATCGTATTCGTTCAAAGCATCTGAACTATTGAAACTGAAATTAGTAGTAGTGGGTGATTGCGGGTTATCAGAGCTGTTCGCTTCCTAAAATGTAAGACATGAAAAGATCGTCAGAGTTCATAACCCTTCGATTAGCGATTTGCGAGTTTCTTATCTGCTTGATGTCAGTCAGAATTGCTGTGCTGTTCAGCTTGGTTATGGGTCTATGAGGAGAGGCAGTTTTACCGTAGTACACAATAAATGTTAATGCGGCTCCAAAGAATGCTCCGACCGTTTGTGCAACAATATAGACACACAATCGTCGAGTAGACAAATGTCCCATGGTGAACATGAAGACGGATACAGCCGGATTCAAATGGCTACCTGAAATCNATGGTTGATAAATAGATATATTTACTTACGTATTCATCACAATATCTTATGCAAAACTGATTTGATCCAACAGGAATTATGTTAAAAGTACGCAGAATTCCGGATGCTCTTAGTATTTTGCACAATGGCAAGCGAATACATCAGTTGAAAGGTTCAAATGAAATGTGACAAAATTCACCGGATATGTTAAATCCTCCATAGACAGCGAATGTTACCGCGAATGCCCATCCAACAGTCAAACTAATCCATGAGCTCTGTTGCTGCTTTGAGAGAATATATTGGGCATTCGAGCAAAGACCACCAAACTGAAACTTATAGTGGCATAAAGTTTCAAATTGTTACTGCTAAAATTTGCATCTTCAAGTAATTGGTCTATAGTAGATCAGGAAAGATGTGTAATAAACTTTTATATCTTATGCCACATGATATCTGGATATCAATATGATTGGTGTCAACCAGGAACGTTATACTTCTTAAAAATAATACGATAGTGATTCTGTGAGCCTACTGGAACTTTGTGGTGTTTTTGGAAAGAGGTCTGTTGAGTTCAAGAGATGCTCTTCTATCAAATTCGAAGTCAAAGTGCATACGGCACAAACGGTAACACTATTAAACTATCATACGATGAGAAGTGCAGTACAGAAGCATTCGGCAAGGACGCATCGAGCCAGATTGCTCCTGATCTGGAAAAGCTTCTTGACTCTTTCAACGGGATCGACTTTGATGGGTTGATTCAATTCGGTTGTTATTTTCATTCTGCAAAAGATTCAGCTGGCTTACACCACAGAAAGAAAGGAGTGTTCATGCAACCGGAAAATCCCATTGAACATACTTGAAATGAGGCAAACAACATCAACTGATGGTCAAAACATTGTGAATTGTAATAAATGGACGACACACAATAGCTTCTAAAAGCTCCGAATATTTTTGTTCAATCGTTTTTCATTGTTAATAGTCATAAAGGGGAAAAAATGAACATTTCATTGATCTGTATGCAATCAACAATGGATCATTCTCTGGAATTGGTAGCTGAATTATTCGTTTCGAGATTTTCCCAGCAACGTTTTGAAACGTTTCAAATTGCAATGGGTAAACAATGATGGCTTTATGCTTCTTCAAAACGTTTGTATGTGAGGAGCATCGTTCACATTGAAATTGCCGTTTGTTTCATCGCACAATGGGATATGGCCATGTTTACGATTGTATTCAAGCGAATAAAAGTGCATTTATCTTAACAGCGAATTCAAATTGAATGAATTGAAATGCTTCAAAAATTTATAATCAAATGAAAAACGACATCAAACAACCATATTTGTGGTACTCCATCACTACAATAGCTTTTTTGTTGTGTTGACGTTATTTACAGCAAAAAAGTGTGAGAAACTGAAGATTTTCAGGAGAACAATCAGCTAAGGAGCATTGCAAATCGACAAATTTTGAGCCATTGTTATTTGAAAAATGGAATTGTTCAGTTCGACCGTACTTATATTTCTTTTATCATTCAGAGACAAACCATTAATCAGTTA